GTCCTCTACCTTTATTGGTAACTCCACCTCGATCCAGGAGCTCTTCAAGCGTGTGGGTGATCAGTTCACTGCCATGTTCCGTCGCAAGGCTTTCTTGCACTGGTACACTGGTGAGGGTATGGACGAGATGGAGTTCACTGAGGCTGAGAGCAACATGAACGATCTCGTCTCCGAGTACCAGCAGTACCAGGACGCCTCCATTTCCGAGGGCGAAGAGGAATAGTAAGTTCTCCCGAATGTCGCGCAGGAAAAAAATTGTCACTAACTCTGTTCCAGCCCCGAGGAGGAGATCCTTGATGAGCAGGAGTAAACTTTTGGCCGTCAAGAATGACGCAAAGCTGGACGCGCTCTTTAATACCCTTGATAAGCTTACATTCTCAAAGGACGTTGGCTCGTTGTACCGGCCATTGTCGGTGAACTATTTCGTTTGAGCGCCTTTGATTTTCCCCTTCCTGTTCTTTTTTCTATTACCTAGGCCAATGGAAGCCTGAAACCATCCAAATCCATAGCACATAGTTCGAAGCAATTTATGATTTATTGCTTGGTATGCAGCGTATGTGAGCCGCTTCTGCTCGCCTATGGTTTTTCTGCGGGTGATAGCGCCCGGGCTTGAAACTGTGTAGGACCACCTAGTGACGTCTATTGAGACCTGAGTGGGAGGAATGAGAAAACACACTGTGCTTTGGCACAGAGTGGCTTGTTCAGGACTTAATACTTCACCCACAGGGTGTGAAGCGGTACAGACTACAGTGAGTATATGTCACGTGACTTACCTTCGGCTAACAAGCCGAAGCATCAATCAACCAATACTTCAAGCCCGCCCACCAACCAGGACGCTGCTATTGTTGCCGGCGCTAAGCGGAGCGCTGCGTTGGGTTCCTACCGTAGCCGGACGGAGCTTTCAGACTAGCTTCTTGCTGACTGGATGCAGGTACCGTACAGCACGGTGCTATCCTAAACAATTCACCTGTCCGCCCTCCCTACAGCTCTTTTAAGCGAGGTCCATGCGATAAAAATATATTTTTGTAATGTAGATTCGCGGGGCGCCCCCCCCCCCCCCCCCCCTCCCTTCCCCGGCCCAGTGCTACTCAGGTGACACTTATAATCGGATCAGGTGAATGGGGTTCTTTCGGGCGCGGGAGGGAGGCGCGGCTTCTTATTTGGGTTGTGTTTCGATTATTCCGGAAGTTGTGGGAGGAGAAGGGGGGGAAGGGGGGGGTTGTTCACGTTGGAAAGCACCTAAGTACTACTGCCGGGTGTACAGTATAATGTCCAGGGATGCACCAAGAGGGAGTAATAGTGTAGTATAATTCTGCGTCTCAGCTATGGAAAGACATCGCTTTTTTGCTGTAGCCCATCTATCTCAGATGGTTGAAACAGGGACATGAAGAGGTATGAGGCTTTTCGTACAGGAAGAACATCAGGGCAATTGCAGCTTTGTTCATGGGAGAGTGAGGGATTGGGATGGAAGATTGTATGGTTTTGGATTCATTTCTTCAATCGATTATTTTCCTCCAAAAATAATGAACCGATAGCCAGTCACATTAGGTAAGTCAGATAGAGGAAGCCTTGAAAGGGGGAATAGAACCAAGAAAAGAAAAGTATATACATATGTACAGTTAAAGATGGGGAATCAAAGTGGTAGACATGAGGAAAAGAAAAGAAAATGGGATATAGTGACGAATAAAGGAAAGAAATTAGGTGGAGTGATGGTTGAACCCGGTTTGAGAGGTAAATGGCCCAGTCACCATTTACGCCTTCAGTTCTACCGACTCCTCGTTGCCAGCGGGAGTGATGCTGCGCTTGGAGGAGCTCTCGGCGTGCTCGGGGCTGGTGCCGGCAATGACGTCGCGGGTGATTTCGACATAGTCGTACTGTTTTCCCCAGAGTTAGTTCTTTGCTCATTATGATAGAAGGGCTCGACTATTAGGAAGACATACGGCAAATTCACCGATCTCGGCGTCATCGGTACCCAGGATCTCATCTTCCTCGGAGATGCGCAGGTGGAGGCCAGGGATCAAGTTGATCAGGAAGAGAATGATGCAGCTGCCGAAGAAAGAGTAGGCCATGCCGGAGACAGAGTCGGCGAGCTGGTAGCCGAGTTGGACGTAATTGTGGTTGATCCACCCCCCGTCAATGACGGTGGAGCCATCAAGATGAGCAATGTAGTCACTAGTATACTGTTAGTGGAGTGCTTGCAGCAGAGACAAAAGACAGAGACATACGCGGCAAAGATTCCTGTCAAAAGGTTTCCAACAAGACCACCGATACCGTGGACAGCGAAGATGTCCAAGCTGTCATCGATTTGGATCACATATTTCAGCTTGGTGGCATAGTTGCAGGCAATAGCACCGACCACGCCGAAGATGAAGGCCGCCCAAGGTGTGACGAAGCCGGATCCTGGAGTGATGGCGACCAAACCGGCAATGGCACCGGAACAGAATCCAACCATAGACCATTTCCTCTCAAGTCGGTAGTCCATAAGACACCAGGTGACACCACCCACCGATGCAGCAAGGTTGGTGACAACGGCAGCCATCACGGCACGCAGGTTGGCAGCCAGAGCGGAGCCTGCATTGAAACCGAACCATCCAACCCAGAGGAAGACCGTGCCGATGACAACATGGGTGACATTGTGAGGGCGGTAGTTGAGCTCGTGCGTTCCATGGCCACGACGCTTTCCGAGCATGAGAGAATAGGCAAGAGCGGCAGAGCCGGAGGCAATGTGGACAGGAGTACCACCGGCGAAGTCGAGACCTCCTAGCTTGAACACCCAACCGGACGCGTTCCATGTCCAGCAGGCGAGGGGATCGTAGATGATAGTGGTCCAGACAAAGCTGAAGACCATGCAAGGAAGCATGCGGCCGCGCTCAGCGACGGCACCGACTGCAAGGGCCACCCTGGTGTCATCCTGTCAGATATGCAGCCTTATCATGGATCCAGCAAAGGCATACTCACGTAATAGCTGCGAACATTCCCTGAAAGACAGCGAACAGAAGATCCGGTACTTTAGTGCTACCCACGGAAGGAGCTCCCAGGACACCCTTCATACCGAAGTTCTGCAAATCCCCAATATAACTTCCAGCTGTGTGGGAGAAGGCTAGCGAATACCCCCAGAAGAACCATTGGAAAGATACCACCCCGACCGACATTATCGAGAGCCAAATCAGCGACAGGGCTGACTTGCGTCGAGCAAGACCGGAATAGAAGAAGCTGGTAGGGTTAGCTCTCGACTCATTATCTTTCACACTAGGAATGGTCCCATACCCGACACCCGGAATCATCAACAGCACCAGGGCAGTGGAGGTGATCACCCAAGCAATGTCCCCAGACTGAGAACAGTTAGCAAAAGCTGAGCACCAAGCGCCTAAGGAGCTTACACTGTAATAAATGTTGAGGTCTTCCGTCAGGGAATCACCGCCCGTTGCACCCGTGCCATTGTAGGCAACGGGATACGCCGACATCGTGAATCTCACAAGATGCACGGAATTTCTTATGAGATCGAAAAGAGAGAACTGTGGGTTGCAGCCTGTCTACCACAGCTTGGCAAGAGGTTAAAGTATTATCGAACGCGGAGGCGGTACCCGAGCCTAGGGGGTCTCGAAGGCAATGGAAGGAACAGGCACGTATTAGACCGACAGCAAGGAAAGCAAGTTGGGGAAAGTCCGGGCACTGATCGATGAATAATTGAATCTGAGCTGTTACCAATTTAGGGCAACGGGGTGGCTGATCAATAATAGAAAGAAAAGTATAGATATCAAATATAGTTAAGAAAAAAAGAGAGGTCAGGTCAGGGGGAGATGCAGGAGTGATAAATAGTGGTGATGATAGTCGGCGGCCGGAGATATTACCAGTCAGATGAAAAGCGCCATCGTCTCACTTGCTTCGAACCCTGGAAGGGCTCCACATCATCGGAGCCATTCTGGGGGGGGGGAGGGTGCTCTCTTTCTTGGCCACAGGATTAGTTTGGTCTTGATACGATGCGATATCTATGATAGATATCGGAGGACTGGCCATGGCGGCGGATCCAGACGGGTGGAGTTGCTGGAGGAAAGCCATCACGGACCAATGTACTTGGCAGTAATCCTCTGACTTGCAGCTGATTGGAGTCACTTTGCATTTTCCGATCTGTCGAGAACGTGGATGAGCATGTTGGGAGCAGAGTTCCACGGCATTGGCCTGTTCATCGTGCATGGACGCCTAATCCATCAGCCATGGCTGATGGCTGCATATCGGTTACATGTCGGAAGCGGCAACAGACCGGCAGGCTCAGAGTGATAGCAGTAGGTCTGCTTCGTGATGCGGAACTCAAACACGGGGAGAGATTAGGGATTTCATTGACAGAAGAGGGTCAATAATGCAAATGCGCGGAAGTATGGATAAGGAGAGAAGTCTATTCAGCCCGGGAGAAATCCTTCGGTTCAGGCAGCATCGGGACTGGCTGGAGATAGTCATCCTTGTGTCTTATCAGTGGAAATTAAGAGTTAGTCAGGTAGACAACTGCATACACAGGTGGTAAGGGGGTCAAGAGAGTTCCTTATCTCTCGCCAGATACGTATTGTACATGTAAGTATGCCACTGACAGGGCTGATTCTTGGATATGGCGGGCTTGCCATCCTTCGTGAAGCCCCATCGGGAGGCGCAGGAAAAACCACGAGGTTTCTCCCAAACCTTGCTGATCAGCCCCACTGACGCTCTGAGCTGTAGTTGTACAGGACAACTGCACCACCAGGATGGTTGAATGAGTTCGTGCAATGGGGTGTTTAGTTGTAAGTTATTCCTAAACTTTCCGAGAAGAAAGAGCGGAAGGCCAGAACCCGCTAGGAAGTCCTTATCTTCCTCCGTTGCGCCAACCAATCACCATCGGCTCGGGCAGAAGTCTTATCTGCCGTACAATCTACAAAGCTGTTGATTACGAACGAACCAAACTACCTCCTATTGAGCTTATTATTACTCGACCTGCTCGCCCTTGCGTTGAATCAGACATCATTGATGACGCCAAGAAATCAGTCACATTAGTTCGCTATATCTGACACGCAACTATGGTGGCACTGCTATGCAGCTTCCGAGGTCCATCTACAAGTATAGCTACAGCATCACTGTTCCCCATGTGGTCCGTTCCTTTGTGAAAGCTTGATACGCCACTCCGTCGCGAGTAGGAATACGAAGACATACTCAACAATGCCAGACAGGAAGAGCTCCATTGTTGTTGTAATCCGATGATCACACAGAGCCCGACCCGATCGCTTCGGCCGCTTCCAGCGCAACCGCAAACCGAGCCTTGAGATCCTCCACATTCTCAACCCCGACACTAACGCGCAGCAAATCGGCCGGCACGCCGAACCCCGCGGCCCACCCCAACTCCCAATAGTGCGCGAGAAGAACATAGGGCGACGTCAAGGTAAAATTGGTGCCGAGACTCGGCCCTTTGGCCGTCTTGATGCGATCAAAGAATGCCACCGCATGTTCCTTCCGGTGAAACGTGGAAGATAACAAACCCCCATACCCGCCCGTGAGGGTCCGACACTCGTCATAGAATCGCTTTGTCGGACTATACTTAGGGTAGTAGACGTCCTTGATCAGCGGATGGGCCTGCAAACTTCGGCAGATGGCCTCAGCATTGTCGTTTATTCTCCTGATGCGCGCCACGAAGTCCCGGCTGTTGCGCTCCATGAACAGAACGTCCTCGACCCAATAATTGTTTTCTTCAAAATCCGCATCGAACGCCCGCTTCAGTGGCAGATAGTACCGGCTTTGGGGGTTCAGGATAGCGCTGCCACCCATCACGTTACAATCGCCTGAGAATACCTTCGTGAGACTGTTGACGACCACGTCGGCATGGGGCAGGAGCTGGATATTTGACTGAGTTGCCAATTGTCTCATCCACCACCACGGCGAAGTCATACTTGTCGGCCAGTAGGCGGATGCGCCGGAGATCGGGGCTCTTCAGCATTGAATTCCCGGGGAACTCGCAGAAGAAGGCCAGGCACCGTTCGTCAGCTTGCAGGTGGGCTTCTAGGTCGTCCAGCTCGTCCGAGGAGCCATGCCCGTAGAACAGACATCCGGGGCCGAATTTCTGCAGGATCTTCAAGGTGTCGACATACGGGAAGCCAAACGAGATACTCTTCCGTTGGCCTCGAATTGCGATCAGCATCCGGTGCGTTTTGAAAATGGCATTCATGCCGCACGGGTAGAGGTAAACGTCGTTCTCGGACAGTCCGGTCACCCCCCGCGAATTGTTTTATGGGTCTGATTGTTTGACTGCAGCTGTAGATGTAAGATCCAGTTCCTCTACCAAATAGCCTGCTAGGCTTCGACGGATCGCGATTCTGGCGTTGTTGACAAATGAAAGATACAAATTCCGTCCAAATCGCTCCTCCAGGAACTGCGTGCTTTCCCGGCTATCTGCTGCAACGTTGTGCTTGCCATCGAGTCCAGTTTTCTCTGACTCGGTCATCACGTTGTTTTCCCCTTCAGGAGAAGTTTGACGATGATCTGTGATGGAATCTCTTTGGTACCTCTTTGGGCCTCTTTTGTGATTCACTATCGGCTGTGACTGTTGCTGCGTCTGCGATGCCGGTGCGGTGGTCGCAGAATCCGTCCCTAGCATGCCCTCCTCGAAAAGTGCGTGACAAAATTCTGCCTGTCGACTTGAGATCCCATCTCCGGAATGTTGCCAATATTGTTTCGCGATTGGGAACAGATCCTCATGGAATATGACGGCGGATACTGAGGGCGAGGCCTTCTTAGCAATGGCTATCAAATGAGTCGCCGAGCTCTTATTATCGAGACACAAATCAATTATCTTGAAATTTGCAGCCAGTCCCACCTTCGCGGGTTCTGTCTTGGTAGTGTTGACAATGGAGTCACGACATCTCTCAGCAGCCTTGCGGGATGGGAACAACATCGCCTCCTGATTATCGCTTCTTGTTCCTTCTGAGCAGCATCTGGTCACGATGTCATCTGCAAATACAGCAATGAGGTCATGGCAATAGAATCGTGGATAGCCATTGGAGATTTTGTCCATAACGCGCTTGGCACCTTCTTCATAATCAACGTTGTCCGTCCATGTTGGCAGGGACACGCTCACAGCATGAGCTGTGAGGGAAGGAATTGAGTCACCCAAGTCTATGTTTGACGACATTGTTCAATTATAGAATGAAGGTGATGCTGGTAGAGTCCGAAGTCAAGGTGTAGCTGAGAGCAGCTAAGTACTGTATGTGTTGATTTACGCCTATCCAAGCCTTGCAGAATACATGCATTCACTTCTTCAATGGATTATAGGAGCACAACTTGTCTGTCTCTTGGTGCGCAGATGAGAAAGTGCGGGGTTAAATACTTGGAGGAAGTAATGTCTGTAAGCAACAAGCCTGTACTGAACCTCTGAGTCATTATATCTTTTCCCGCCACAACTTTCACATCCTCGAATCGTTATCCAGCTTCTCCACCTTGTTGTTTGACCTGAAAGCTCAATCAACGTGGTGCTTGTGAGCGAACGGGCTTTAGGCTGATTCAATTCGCGTTTGTCTCTCTTCATTCCCGATTATTGTATCTTGGGATCTGATTTGAAAGCATCAAGTACGCAGTCTCGTTGGCCCGACATTCGAGATTATCTTGCTTCGTTGGCGCCATAACTTAACCGACAGGTTGAGATAAAACATGTTTCTTCGTCATACTCTTGGATCTTCCTGGCTTATCTATCTTTATGGGGACTTTGTTGCTCTATGACTCACAAAGCTACAAGCCCACGCCGCTGCCCCCTCAACATTCTCAATCCCTCAACCGCTGAATTAATTGAGCGGGCAAAAGACTCTTCTGTACTCCTGCGGAGAAGTGCCTTTTGCGCCTCAGCACCCGGATGGATTCTGGATAGGTGTGCGTCTGTCATGATTTAACACCGTCAATCACACAAGGCAGCGCGCATAGCATCCCGAGTCACCGTCGTTGGCGGCATCGCCCGTCGATCTGATGAAGAAAGTGCCTATTCTTCCCTGCGCAGGAGCATTGACTGTGCATTCGGGCTTCTCTCTCAACTGCAGGTCAACTTGGGCTTTCCGATCTAATGCACTAATGCACACCCCTCGCAGTCCATGCGTATGGTGGGTTGATCAATACCAATATGGAAATTGAGAGACAGCCGTCTACTTCTTCGGATGCAGATCATCGAAGGGATCATCGGGATCAAAGAGCATGTGCCAATGTTGATCTTCCGGCATTAACTGGAATGAGCGCTGATGGGGACAATGGAATTAGGTATCATGGCAGGGCAAATAATTTAAAGTATACAAAGTACTCCGCAAATCCCGTAGTGTCATGAATGCAGTACACTCGGTGCTCCGCACTGGTGCTTCGCTTGTGAAAGCTCTGATTAGGCCTTTGACCCTAAGGAGAATGTCATGAGATTGATCTTGTGACCTATTATCGCAGACCGCGCGTCCTCTCCAAGTCCTGAAATTTGATTTACTCCGTACCTTGTTCTAAGGGGCGATGATTGCATGGAAGAAGGTGTACAGTCACAGCACAGCGAGTGTGGCGGTGATGTGCTTAGTCATGGGCGGTGGGCAGTCTTTGATTCCGCTTTTATGGAATACATGAAGCTCTCTTGATCCTCCCTCCGAACAGCGTCTCCGACGTCGCCGAGTCATTGGCTTTCAGTGCTAGCTATATCACACTTATCACGCTGAGCACCCATTGATCGACTCAATCTATCATTTTTGCCGGAACCGCACGCCTGAAGACGCATACGCGTTTGCCAGGGATTTTTTGACAGGTCCAGCAGCAGAAGCATGCACCGCCACAGCCCCTATCTATCCGCTTGAGGCTTTCCCTTCCAACCCGCTCTATCTAGCACTGGCCATGCGAGATGGAGTCCCAACAAGATCGTGGGTTTCAGATCATGGAGCATCCTGATATGAACAATCATGACTCGGATGGCTCCGGTTCCTCCGATGAGCTGCTGCAACAGCCATACTCAATCCGATCGGACTCCAGCTTCACGGAGAATTTCGATAGCCAGATCCCAACCCCCGCGTCGACCATCGCCAACTCTCCTACCCCATCCCTTCCCAGCGGTATCCCTCCATGGGTCACGGGCACACCATCACGCCCGCGGGGTGCGAGCGTTGGTGCCTCTGCTCTCGACAAAGCACAACCTGTAGACGGTCTGCCAGGTGACTCAAGGTCGCAACGCCCGTCCGGCCCCGCTCGGACACCTTCCAACACCTATGCCCCTCAACGCCGCCCACCCCAATACATCAGCTTCCAGAATGACCGCCAGAGATCCTCGTCAACGAAGCGAACCCCTCGAAGGGACCCGAACGCCCAGTATCGAGCGCAGGAGAAGGCGTACGTCCAGCGCATCCGGGCCGACCCACAGGCATGGTACAACCATTTCGACGAAGCTCAGAATATGAGCCCGGGTATCGGTGACTCGGACCTGGAGGAACCCTCGCCTTCGTCAGAAGTTCCTTTCGAAGATGATGCCTACGACCCTGACATTCAACTTTTCCTCAACGACGATAACTTGCCGACGATCGATGAGCTGAAGAATCCTAGAAATCAGGAAAGGCTGGAGTGGCATTCCATGTTGTCGTCGGTCTTGAAGGGAGATGTCGTCAAGCAAGAAAAGCAACGTCTTCTGGGGTCTACGGATTCTAAGAGGTCCTCCGCCCAGAATAATGCGATATGGCTGGGTGTCAGAGCAAGAACGTGCGGGCGCAGTGTGGCTCTGCAACGAAAGCTGATCGAAGAGGCTCGGAGTGGATTGGGACCTATCATTGAAGAAATCATTAAGTTTGAGATCAAAGGTGAGACGGAGATTGGGAAGCCTCCCATTCAACAGGTCGAGGACATCGTGGGACAGATCGAGAGGTGTGAAAGCTTGTATTCCACTCACAAAGAGCTGGAAAGCGCACACCCTCGCATTGCTTCGGATGAGTTTCGATCGAGTCGGGATGCCGTTCTTGCCTGGCACAATACAACGATCTTGATCAACACTGAACTTGCCATTCTGCAGAAGTGGGTTGGCAACGACGAGCTTGACTTCAGCAAGCCAAGGACAAAGTCAATCAACAGTGATCTTAGCGACGAATCCTCCTTCTTGGATCGGATCATGAAGGAAGATGGGTTGAGAACGCTCCAGGGAAGACAAAACATGCTCAACGGTGTGGGTGAGGTGATTCAGAAGGCGAAGAACACCTTGATCGAAAATGCCAGCTCGTTTGCCAAGCGTCATCTGCCGCCATATATCGAAGAATTACTTACCCTGATCAACTTTCCCTCGCGTCTCATCCAGGAAATTATCCGCATGCGACTTTCCTATGCGAAGAACATGAAAGACCCTGCTCAACAGTCCCCAATCTTGGTGGATCAAATGCTTTCACAGTTTCAGATCCTGATGAAAGTTGCGGTGGACATCAAGCAACGATACATGGATATCGCCAGACCTGAGCCCGGCTGGGACTTGCCCCCTTGTATCGACGAGAATTTCGACTCGGTTGTCCTGGATGCCATGAAGTACTACTTCCGACTCCTCAATTGGAAGCTGAATGCAAACAAGAACACATTCAAGGAAGCGGAAATTCTGGAACAGGATTGGGAATTCTCTAATGAGGTCGGACGTCAACTTGAAGGAGGTGACATTGAGGTTGCTGAGCAATATAGGTACGGGATCTCTCAAGCCACGATGTGTATGTTTGCTAACTCATGATTAGTGCCTTGACTGCGAAGTCTCTTCAACGCTTGATGATTCATTTCGAACGGGAATTGACGATACGTCCGAATGAGGATCCCATCGACATGGATAAGCGATATAAGAGCGTTCTTGATTCTACCCGTATTCGCCAACGGAAGCTCTATCGTTTCTCCCGCTTCTTGCGCCAATTGTTTGAAAATGCAACAGAGTATAATTTGCCAGCTGACATTGCCTATGACTTCCTGGAAGCGCTCCTCGTATCGGACCATTTCATTATTAAGTCTACCTCTACCACGGGCCAGAAGAACGTCTATCTCTTTGCGCATCCTGCGTTGTGGGGTCGGCCCGCAGATTTACAAGCAATCATGGGCACGTCCTTCCGTGAGGAAGATGCATCGAAAGACTCCCCTCACGCACCCTATATTTTGGTCATCCGTCCGGAGAAGCCATTGGCTTGGGCTGGGAAAGAGATGCAGCTCGAAACCATGGAACATCCCACGGACTTGCGATTAGGGAAATTGCGCCTCGTTGTTGAGGGCACCCAGCAGCGCCTGGCCAATGCTCGGGCTGAATTGGCACATCTGACTGGAACGCATCTCGACATGGCCATTGAGCAACGTGCCAATCTCGGTCGCGTTAATGTGGAACTCAACAAGATCAAGAAGATCTCATTCAAGCTGTCCATGACAATTATGGACAGCGTTGCAATTATCCGCAACCAGCTGAGGGAGAATGGAGTAGAGAATCATGACCTGGTACAAGCATGCTATGCTTTTGCCACGGAATTCGGAAAGCGTTCTTCGAATGTTGATCCTAATAGACGCGCTATGAATAGTGCGAGGCTTGTGGATTTGTCTCTTGATTGGGTCTCCTTCGTTTGCGACGACTGTGATGCTGCTGATCGAAAGACCTTCAAGTGGGCTGTCTCTGCTCTTGAATTCGCTATGGCCATTACTTCTAGCAGACATCTACTTTCCATGGACGACGCGCAGTTTGCTCGTCTACGACAGAAAGTGGCGGGGTGTATGTCACTCCTCATATCTCACTTCGATATCATGGGCGCTCGGTCTTCCCGTGCAGCTCAGGCAGAGAAGCAGCGCTTGGAAGAGCGCGCCGGCTCTAGAAGAATGGCCGCAGGCCGAGTTTTGACGGATGAGGAAGCGACCAAGCTTGTGCGAGAACAGCGTCTGGCTCACTTGATCGAGATTGAAGATCGGCGAGTCGATGAAGATGCGAAGCGTCAGGCACTCGGAAGAGTCCTGGAGGGATCTAATGAGGCTGATAGGTCTCTTACCGTGCTTTCGTCTTCGGCTACAAATGTCACTCTGCGCTGGCAGCAGGGTCAGTTCATTGGAGGCGGAACGTTCGGATCCGTCTATGCTGCAATCAACCTCGACAGCAATTACCTCATGGCTGTCAAGGAGATTCGGTTACAGGATCCTCAGCTCATTCCTAAGATTGCCCAACAGATCCGCGATGAGATGGGCGTTCTGGAAGTCCTTGATCATCCC